GTGACTTTCAGAAGTGGCTTAAGACAGTTTCGACACTGTAGATTACTTCTGATTAGCAAAAAATTTCGCACAAAATATTTCTTTTGTATAAAATTTTCAAAGACAGTTTTTCTCAACATTTGTTTGAAATCTTACTTTTACTGTACCTATAAAATTTTTTAACAGAACTCAAACGATTTTACATACTCAAAAGTAATCAACAAGTCTAATGAACTAAAAAATGTCAGGGGCGGGCTAAATTACAAGTCTGCAAAGGCGCGCATGTCAAGCGGCAACCTGACAAATTTTACACTTTTGAAGGGTGTGACTTGGCAGGGAATTCACTTTTCCAGGTTTTTTTTTTTTCAGCTTTCTGTATACTAGCCTACATGTATATATGATATTTATGTACTGCTTAATGTTCCACCATAAGTAAGACAAAACAAATAGTCGTTAGAATTAAATTTCCATAGCATATATAATCAATGACAAAACTGCTTACCAAACCTCCACCCTAACTGCCTGCATATCGCCATCTCACCGCTTATGGCAACTCCGTCAATTTCCAGTAGCGGTAACTCTTTCAATGGAGAATCTAAAAAATATAATGGAAACGTGGTCTAGGTGCAGTAGCTTTTATTAAATAGTTTGGTGTGTTGTTGATTATATTTTGGAAAATCATACTTTGAAGAGCTTCTGTGTTGTCATCTGCATAATCAAAGGATTCGTATGGTACTTTTGCAACGCTGAAGAGCAGATGGACCAACTCTGACCTGGTGTCACGATTTTCGTGCAGTTTAAACTTTGGTGTATTCGCGCCAACTTTAAGCTGAAAAAATAGCAGTTAGTGGTCAAATCTAATAAATGCACATTTTAAATCTGACGTCAAGGCCACATGATGGAATTGTTTTATGCTCGCGGCAAAAGGACTCGCTGCGAGACAATACGTGAAGCAGATTTTGTATGTAATCAAATCACACAGTGAAAAGGTGTGACTAACTCACGCAGTTCGACTGGTAGCGAATTGTCTGAACTAGATAGAAAACAAAGTGGGTTTTCAAGCTTAGCTACGTAATAATCGTTACGATACTATAGAAAGAAAGCCCTACAGTCTAATTTAGTGCTCAAAACAATTTTTCCAGACCATTATCTCACGAAATTACTATGCAAGGGTGTGAGTAAGCTACAAAAAGAATGAAGACATCCTCCACATTTCCTCCCGTATTGTACATTCACTTAGTTAACTCGACGTTTGTGTAACCACATCTCGGCACAACAATTACCCCCTCCACCATAAGGTCATATGCAGCTCCTAAAGCTGGCTAATCAAAAAAAAGACACAAGAAGAAAACGAACTCTTCAACCCAACACAAACAGACAAAAAGCAGTGTCTTTGTCTGAGATTAAAAGTTCGTTTCGTAAACGAACCAAATGAGTAGCTATAAATGATTGGCAGTTTTTTATATCATAATTTGTAGTAAAATATTCTGACAGATGTATCGGATTTTTCCACTCAAAACTACATTTCATAGAATTTCAACGCTACAGGAACCACGGACAAAAGTTCTTTCTACTCCTGAACCAGAAAGTTCTTCTTTATGATGCGCATAGAACATCTACTTTAAACAGTTCTAGAAGATACCTATAGTGACAATTACTTGAATTTTGCTCAAATCGCAGCCTCTTAGTACCTAACCGCTCTCCAAATGTTTGATTAATTCTTGCATAATCAACCTTATAACTTATACAACCTAAGAATAAACGAGAAAATCGGATGGAGAGCAGTATTCATTAAAACAATTTGCTGGCATATTTGCTGAAGAATACTGTGAGGATGACAAGAGAGCCATCTGCGAGATTCGCAAAGCGGTCCCTTGGGAGTATTTTTGGAAATAGCCGAACTTTAGCCTGCTCAGGTTTCGCAACCGTGGTCAGCAGTGCTTTTCGCTCCATCCACTTATTGAACTCCGCCTCAAAAAAATTTTGACAAGTCTGCTGCTCTCAATTCCAACAACGCTTGAGCATCCCTTTTTCTACAAACTCATTGAATTAGGTGATTGTATTGCAGCAGAAGTGTCTGTATGAATCGCTATAGTTTAGGTGCTTGGATCTTTATTGGGCCTACCTAATTCTTCTTTTCTTCAAAATTTCCTTAACTATGCATGTGTTTTTTAATAATTTATTTAATTAATTTACTATAACTAGTGTTTTTCGGTGCCATCAAAAAAAAGCCCTAAAAAAATTTGGTGATAATTTTTTCGAAGTGATCTAAACGCACTTTTAAAATTGACAGATGTTTAAAAAATCGGGTTTGGGCTAAAGTCGTTCAATCAATAAATTTGTCTTATATCTTATTTTTAAAAGAGTTATATCGGTGGAAAAGTAGAGGAATGAAAAGAAGGCAGCAACACAGTCATAAGACTTGTCGGAACTTAGTTTACAGTTCTGTTTTTCATTCTGCCATTGTCCAAAGTGGAGTTCGGGGGAAAAACTTTTAGTGATAACGATGACCGCTGTTTTGATTATTGAAAAGATCTCGCAAAATTGTTATTTGGAGAGCTATAAAAGTAATTCTTGACGCAAAGAAAGTCAAATCGTGGAATTCTCCAACAAAGCATATGATTGTCTTTAGTCACCTACTAAACATAAGGCGCTGAACCCTTTGTATGGAGGAAGCACTTTCAAACTACTGTATTCAACTGCGTGTCATATGAGAAGAGGTTGAGCGTCTGCAAAGTCAATGGATCCATTTTCTCCTCAAAAGCACATTTGCTGCGGCAAAAAATTCTATAGTAATTCTAGGAGTCAAAGTCGTACGTAATGAATCATCGGCGACCGCAGTGCGAGGACGACTTTTAGGTGAACTCATTACATTATGATTTTTTGGAACCCCATTAGCGCCAAAAACTGTTCAGCAGCTCTTGAATACCTTTTGTCTGGTTGTTTCCCCATTACTATCTCAGCGAAAAATACAAGTTTAAAAGTACGAACTCAATGAACAAGAAAGTTGGCACTGGAAAGGAAAGCAAAACTGTATTCCTCTTGAGCAATGATCCACCTTTCTCCTATCCCGGGTCTAGATGACAGTACGTTTGCCAGTAGGCAAGAAAAAGCAGGGTCATAGAAGGTAGTTTTAACTGAGGGACGCCGCCGTTAGAGTCTAAAGGTCTAAACGACCCATCGCGTGCGCGCTCTCAGCCTAAGAACAGTCATCTGTGAATTCTGTAGATGACTAGCTCACTGAAATTTATTATTCGTCGTGAAATGGAGTGATAAAATGCATCTTCTAGCAACGGGGTTTGCTTTACCAAAAATCGCTCTGTTAGGAGAAGAAAAAAGAAGACTACACTTGTACGGTGAAGTGGATAGCTAGTGATGATTTCGGGCAATTCATTTACCTTTAACAACCAGAACTTAATGTCTGTACAGGATTGAGATTCTTCTTAGAGATAACATGGTGCTTTGATTTTTTAGATATCTCAGTCTCTCCATATCTCCGGGTTTTTGCTTTACAACGTGACAAATAAATGATTAATTTTGACTGTCAAGTGCGAGTTACGACGTCGGGTATACGAGTCCATTCTGTCATGATGGGGTCAAGTGTCATATCATTTTGTACAAGATATCCAATGAACTATAGTAATTCTTTAGTTATGCGTCACCTAGTTTTGGACTGAGTACTCTCTGCAAAGGAACCTCGGTTGAATTTGGCCTTAACTTGCAAGTGTTCCGTGAGTCATTCAAACTTACCAGAAAAAAGTCACTTGTGCGGAAATACCGTGTAATTCGCAGGTCTTGATGTCTTCACTCTCCTTTCTGCCTCTTAAAGACTTACGAATATATAACGACATTTCACAAGATCTTCAAACAACTCAAGAGGGAAAATAAATTATGGAAAAATTTAAAAAACCGGGAGGTAGTTTAAGATAGAAAGGCCCCTTCATTATTGGAATAATTTAGCCTTACCGAAGGAGAAGAATAGGTAGTTCAACAGGAGCAGTGCAGCAGCTTAATGTCGAATTAAACCTTAACGAGCACAGCACCGTAGCTTCGTTCTTACAAACTACACACTGTCTTGGTCTACACTTGGTTGTTGTGGGGCAGAGGAGGAAGAAAACCCAAGGGGCACTTCATCCGTGGCGTATTTTTTGAAATGCCGCCAACATGAAACGCGCGTTCGCTGGTATAATTCCAACTTTTTCGACAGGAATTTTAACGTGGTCGTAACGTGCTGTTTTTCCGTAGCAGTTTCCATGCGTTCAGTGTTCAAAAAACTGTCTTGTAACTTAAAGAAATGCCTGACCCCCTGTTTCGGACTAGTGTACTTAGTGTCTCGTTCTTAGAACATCCTAGTGACTATGAAGTAGGATAGTTTTAGAATGAATGTTCTAAGCGAATGAAAACTATTATGGAGTAGTAGCAAATTAAAGCTGTTCTGGAGTCTTTTCTATGCAACGAAACTCCCATCCAACACTTCTTTTGAAGACTGTTCCTGTCTAATTCTCTTCAGAAGTAATTATTGTCTTGTGGCGGGCTTACCATTAGATGGCGACGCAGAGTGGGTAGTGGCAGACCAAATTTGGAACTAGACCTTCAAGGATTTCCTGAACTAAAATGCTGAAAACGTCGGAAATTTACACTATTTTTTATTTATTCTTTGTTTTAGAGTTCTGAGTGCATTTAGCGCATCTGGTTACAATAATTTTACCCTAATCGCGTCATAAAGTGGTGTATGTATGTCTGCAGCTGAATTTGTAAACGTCATTACAACACTGACCATCTCTAAAACAGTTATTTTTAAGATCTGTTCAGAGGTTATAAATCTTTAGTGAGATAAATGGTAAAATCTTTCTATGCTTTGGTGTATGACTTGATAGGAGTAGGTGCATGTAACTGTGCATCAAACAGCAGTTTTTAATGCAGTATTTGAATTGAAGACAATATTAAATTTTACTGGTAAAGGTTCTGATAACCAGAGTGATGAAAAAACGGCTTACCTGTAATTCTGTTTTTACAACCATTGTACGTTGATGATCGAATCTGTTTTATCGGTATGGGACAAAATTTTTGCACCAGGAAGAAGGCAGCTGGTCAGAGGAAGTTTGTAAAGTTTGGTTAACAAGATTAAGAATAACTGTTCAGTAACACTGCAAAAGTAAATAAATAAAAGTGAAAAAGAACAGCGGCCCAGAAGTTAAGGAGGAATTAAAATTATGGAAAAGTTTGAAAGATGTTGGTCATGAGTTTTTTTAGCGCATTTAGTGCAGAAAAGTTGAGAAGGAATTAGAAACCATCTAATTAGGCAGCGAAAAATATGCTTTAAAAGAAGCTGAGAAAATGCAGAAAATTTGTAAAGCAAAGAAAGAAACGAAAGTAATAAAAGAGCAAAAAAAAAAAAAAAAAAAAAAAAAAAAAA